AGTTTCCGTACTTATAATTTTCTTAGATATAACTTAAGAAAAATTATCAAGCTGAGACTGACCAAACTGAAAAAGATCCCAAAATAGTAAAAAGGACATGTATTTTATATGTAACTTTTTCTCTACTATTATTTGAAAAGATAACCTTCTTTATGTTATCTTGTTATCATCAAATAGGGGGAGATTGTTGATCCTCTCTCTCAGTGATTTGATGATAATCCCTTTTCACTTATACGTTGTATTTATGTTTCTGTATTTTTAGTTCTAGCGATCTTCACTGATTATGTTCAGTGATCGCTGAAGAACTTGCATTGTAAATCTATCAGAGACAACAATACTTCAAGAAGACAACACTCACACCAAAGAACCTTCAGCAAACGTCGAAGACTGAAACTGAATATTAGAGACCGGCGAGTACGTGATCTGAAGCGGTATTCAGTGATTACAAGTCTGTCTACATATGTGTGAAGACTGTTCAAGCTTCAGCGAATGATGACGAGACCTTCAGGTCATTCCAGCATTCAACGATCAAAGGAAGTTTGCTTAGCACGATTGTTGTTGTCTTGTCCATATGCACACAAAGGACAAAACCCATACCCTTACGAAAGTTAGTACGGTACGAAGCCGACTAGTCGACTCTTTGTCCACCAACTTTAGGTAAGGATGTCTGCTCATAAATAGTGCTTCTGTACTATTCACTATAGCAAATGACAAGCCTTCCTCTTAAGGTTTGACACTCACTCTAAACCTAGCATATTGCATTAAATGGACATTTAATGCACTGGGTATAAATAGAAGTGTTTCTTCTCCATGCAAAGCGAGCACATCTCTCTCTATAACCTAGTTCTTACTTCAAGCATTTTCTAGCTTAAGTAAAAGATCTTTCTTTTAGCAACTTCTTTTCTTGTAATTGCTAAAGCTTTGTGTGTAACCAAAGATTGTTTAGATAGATTTTTATTACCTTATCTTTCCGCAAACAATCTTGTAAAATATGTATTGATCTTCTCTATCAATATATATATTTTAAATTTGAAAATACTGTGTTTGTATTCATCCCCCCCTTCTACAAACTGTTTCTCTTCTTGTAGACCCTTACGAAACCAACAATAACATCCCATCAAACACCACTCATTTGAGTGTTGTGCGCGTAGTTTACCGAAATAACAACGTAATTTGTAAAACTTGCACAAAATGCAATCTACACGACTTTTTTGACTTTCGTCACTTCTAACACTTCATATTAACTTATCCAAAGGTGTTCCAACCTTTACGTCGCCATTTAGATCATCTGTTTAAGTTTTGGGTAAATTTTTCTCATTTAAACACTCTAGTTACCTACCCGATTTCACATCTAGGCACTCTAGTTATCTCATACATCTCATTCTAACTATGCTTTTCTTGCAATTTTATGCAATAGGGCATTGTTGAAGCTGTAAAAGAGTTGGCACCGTATGTAGAACATAGACAATGTGCAAGACACATATATGCTAATTTTCATAAAAGGTTTAATGGTGTTGAATACAGAAACATTTTTTTGGCAGCAGCTACATCCACCTTTGAGGCAAATTTCATGTCACGCATGGAAAAATTGAAGATACAAAACCTTGATGCATATAATCACTTGCTTGAAAGGGACCCTAATACATGGTGTAGGGCATTTTTCCAACCCGGTAGAGCTTGTGAAGCTGTAGAAAATGGGATTTGCGAATCATTTAATTCAATAATTGTTGATGCAAGAAGAAAACCCATAATCACAATGTTAGAGGAGATAAGAATATTTGTTATGGAGAGACATTACAGAATGTTAAACAAAGCACAACAATGAGAATCAGTTATTTGTCCGTCCATAAAAAAAAAGTTAAAGAAATGGGCAGAAAACCACAGGTATGCTTATCTCTTATGGTAATCTATACTATCTTATTAAACAAATTTAAAAAAAGTCTTAAAATACTAAAGGACCAAAATACCCTTTTATGTCACTTTTTCACTTTTTCATCCCCTCCTCTCCTCACATACACTCACCCCCTCACATACACTCACCCTCTCACAAGCGATTTTTTTAAAATTATAATTTTAAATTTACACTTTATACCCCCATAATTAATTAATCAATTTACTTTATGTCCTTTACTTTTAAATGTTTCATTTTAAACATTTATCAAATTAACATACATAATCGTATATCAATTAAAACATGTTTAAAAAATACATTTTTATTTTAACAAGTTACACCATTATAATCGTCTCGTTAATACTTTCGAAATGAGTCCAATATTGAATAATTTTTGACTTAATTATATTATTATATATTATATATACTGTGAAAAAATATTTTTAATATTTACGATTTATACTTTTATAGTTATTTATTTATATATATATATATTATATATTTTGGGGTTAGGATGTCCAAATTGTACTGTATAATATGTTCTGAATTAATATATTTTTGGGTTTTTTTGAAATATATATATACATGTATTAATTCAACCTTAATCTGAGTTTCTAGACAAGAAAGAGGGTAAGCAGTTGAAATTTCATTTTAAAACCCATATTTTTTGTTTTTTCATTGCTTATGATCTGTCAAATTTGTAGTTTTCTTTATTGGTTTTGAATGTTTATCTTAAAACTCAAGTTTATTGGTTCTTTGCTCTTGGTGTAAATCGAACACATTTGTGGAGTCGTTTAAATATGTTGGATTTTAAATATATTGGATTTTAAATATATTGGATTTTAAACTGTCATACAATTTTTTTCATCGATAGTCTGTAATTAGAACCACAACTCTTATTTATTCAAATTGTATTAATATGTAAAGACCAAGTGTAACCTATATCATCGTTAAATCTTATCTTATAAAATCAGTGGAACTTCAAAATCGTTAAAATTCATGGCTCCCGCCGTATTGCGCGGGTACACAACTAGTTTTATTATATATGATTGTCTATGATGGTAATATGATCTTATATGATAATGTATTCTTTTTCATATGTAGATATTGGTATGTTATCCTTAGTGGTGGGAATGTGTTTGAAACACGAAATGGTTATGAAGCAATGGTGGTAGACTTAGATGCTAGAAAATGTAGCTGTAGATTGTGGGACATATCAGGCATTCCTTGTGTGCATTACATTGCTGCCATACACTTTATCAATAAGGATCCAGAGGATTATGTTAGTAAATGGTTTACTAAGGATCTCTTCAAAATGGCCTATGAGAATACTATAAGACCATTGAATGGGAGCAACATGTGGACTCCAACACCTTACTTCAAACCAAACCCACCTAACGAAAGGAGAATGCCTGGTAGACCATCCATCAAAAGAAAAAGATCATAATCTGAGAGCCAAGGTACAAGGGTGACTCAATCTGGGAAAACAATGACATGTAGCAATTGCTTGGTAATGGGACATAATGCTAGAACTTGTAAGAATGAAAAGAAGAACCCACCACCTAAACTTGTTAAGCCAAAAGGTAGACCAAGACTCAACATTCCAAAACTGAGTACAACAAGAAGATCCAATAGAGGTGGAAGAGGCAATAGAGGTGGGAGGATACCATCATATGCAGGGGTCTCTTATAATCCAGTCACGGGAGAAGCAATGATTGGGGTAAGCCATTATTTGTTTTTCAGATTCAAATAACATTTTTGATTACTATTGCTAACACTTTATCTTCATCATTGAAGACATCCTCAGGTGTGCCACAACCAGCATGGTCCGAAGGCATCCTACCATATTCAATTTCAAGAGAGGTTGTTATTAATGATGAAGACCGTGATAAAGGTGATACTACTATTGGTGATGAAGAACATTATGAAAGTGATGATGTTGTTAGACATCAAGAAGGGTTACAATAAAGTCAAATGATTATATCTCCACCAGAAATTAATGATGCAAATGAAGAATAGTTCATACCATGACCTTAACATAGATTAGACATTACTTTAGTATATTTTAGCGCAACTTTTGGTATATTTTGGCGTAACTTTTGGTATATTTGGCGCAACTGTTAGTATTTTTTAGCGCAACTTTTGGTATATTTTGCGCAATTATTGGTATATTTTGGTGCAACATTTGTTACATATTTTGGTTCAATTTTTGGTATATATTTTGGTTTAACCTTTGGTAAAATTATGCCAAAATTTTGTATGCAGATTATTATGTTTTGTATACAACTACCATATGTTTTGTAAAGAGTAATGAGAATGGTATATTTGTTTTTTTTAATAAATATAAGTACCTTTTTCATTCAAAAAATGTCTAAGGACTTGATCGTTCAAAATATGAAAGTTCATTGAGTTTTTTCGGACTTTTTTTCACTAACATAATGTATTTAACAGATTTTGGAAAGTCCAAGAAGTTATTTAATAGGTTCTGTAATGACCAATAACTTATTTAACAAGTTCTAGAATATCCAACGACTTATTTGATCCAAAAAATTGTATAAGGACTTAATCATTCCAAACGGTAAAGTTCATTGGGGTTTTTTTGGAGTTTTCCGAAAAATTATTTATTTTTCTTAAACAATTACTTTTAAACATTTTTTGAGATTTGGATAATTTTACCGTTTTCGAGAATCTGTAGCAAAATCCTAAAATCATTCATTTTCACTTGGGCGATAACTTGTAGAATGTCATTGGTAATGTGGATGATCTTGATAAAGGAACAATACTCGTTGCTATTTTTCATCAGACTTCCGAGATCTCCCTAAATTCATTGCTATTGCTAAACTTCACGGAGAAGGAGATCGTCTACTTCTGTAATGGCTCTTAATCCTAATCTCTACGGTAACGGGATGCCCGTAGCTTTCGTCAACGAGATGTTCGTCTTAATTAGAGACGGGATCGAATTTGAGGTCGACAAGATCCCCGGGTGAGCATCTTTTTCATCTTTTATCAATTTGATTATATATACATGTGTGTGTGTGTGTTTGTATATGTATCTATGCATATACGTTTTCCTAATCGACATTCGATAACTCGAGTAGATGATCACTGTGTTAAATTTGTTATATCGAGCCTGTATGAAGTTTGGGTGTAGAGGTTTATCGTCCTAATTAGGTTTGGGATTTGTTGTATTCTGGGGTTTCCTAGATGAGCTAATCAATCAATTTAATTCGATGGTAAGCCTTAATGACTTGTTATGTTGTTCAATCATGGCAATCGGTGATCACCTTTTTTGGGACTAGTTGCGTGAATCTGCAGTCCGTCACCTTTTTATTGATTTCTTTGATATCCTCCGGAGAAAGGGAGGCTCTGTATCAGATAAAAGTTAATTGGATGATTTTGGGAGGATGAACGCATCAGCATAGTGGAACAGGTTTTCTTGTGAGAAAAAACACTAGATCAAGGAATTGGTTTCATGTGAAAAGAATACTAGATCAAGGAATTGGTTTCTTGTGAAACGAATACTAGATCAAGGAATTGGTTTTTCTATGGGGATGTAGATTGTTTAGATAAGTTATAGTTCATCATCTTGTTTAGTTAGAATCTATCATCTCATAGTCTATGACATAATCTTGTGATTTGGTGTAAGTATGGGATTTTATTGAATGAAATGTCATCAGAAAAAATTACCTGAATAATCACACAATCTTTACCATTGCTACTCTAATCTAATACTCAGCTTCATTTCTTGAACCAAAAAATCAATATACAGTTTGGTTCTAATCTGGATTACCGGAAGGAGCATAAGGCAGATCATTTGAACTGTTAACATGGAAAAATTCATGCTAGTGAGCAAGCTATGAGTTGTCATCCCTTCAGTAATGCATTGCCTCGGAACCTTGATGTATATACCTGCCCAGGGGTCGGTCCTATGGTTTTGAATGCCCTGGCGCAGAGTAAAAAAATGCCCCTAATCCAGGAAATAGATAACACATATTTTTAAGAGGTTTGGAACCTAACTGAACTCATAGATTTATAAAGGGATGCTACCTTTCTTGGGGGAGAGAGTAGATCCAAGGCAAAAGGGAATCTCGAGATTGGATCTAGACTGTAGAATCACTTGCAATGTGCACCAACATGATTTTATATTTAATGACTATGAATGGCTAGCAGCTGAGGTACATAACATATCATGAGAAGCTCTCCATTCATTGCTGACTAATAACACCATTGTATTATTTTAGACCCTTGTATTTTCTCTTTTTCTTGTCCACTCTAGGTTTGTTATGAGTTAGGTCTTTAGAAGTAATCAAATAGTAGTCTCGTTTACTTACCTTTCACAATGGATGAATAGAAGAAAAAAAACTTTTACAAAACCATAAGGGTGGTGCCTGATTGGTTTGATCTTGGCTCCAAAGGTCAAAAGTACCAGGAGGTCCCAGGTTCAAATCAAAGGAGGAATAAAAATCCCCTTGTGGCCACGGAGGTTCAAATGCATTGACTTCGGGCTATCTGCAAAGCTGGTGGTCGCCCTGGGATTAGTCAGCTCGCATAGCGGGTTGGATATCTAGGTAAATTAAAAAAACGTTTACAAAGTAACAAAGACATAAACAAAAAATACTACATCACCCATTTATTTTTGACTTCACTTTCTATAGGGGGAATGTGCACCACGAATAACCAAATATGAACAAACCACTACAACAAAGTGGAAATACTCGTCAGTTAACAAGTATAATACGACCCTTTAATAATAATCAAACAACAAATGATGTAAAGACAATATCAAGAATAAAATACTAAGACACAAATATATATTAGTTATGGCACGAAAACGAGACGTCGAGATTTAACCAAATAAGCAAATCACTTAAATAAGTGAAATAGGTTTAAAGAAATCACTCAAATAGGCATATCATCAAGATGATAACAAATAAACATCAAGAAAATAAGAAAGAAACATCAAGATTCAAGGAAAATAAGCAAATTAGATAACTAGATGAGTAAATAAGGAACTAAGAAAGAAGACACCTTGCTTCAACCTTAAAAGAAAGTAATTGCAATTTGAGAACTGAGAGTGAGAGGCGAGACCGGAGGTTAGAAGATGAGTCAAGGTGAGAGGCTGAGAGACGACTGCCGAGAGCAACGGTGGGCATTGGCAGCGCTATGCGTCGTATGTGAGGGGCAGAAGGCCAGTCGTGAATCGTGAGGGCAAAGGTGAGAACGAGATTCCTAGAGAAGTAATATTTTTTGGAAAAATATCAAATAATGAGCCTACTAAACCCTATTTGACTGTTGGCCTGTGATGCCCTCTTGGCTTTGATGCCTGGGCCACCGCCCTCTTCGCCCAGTACTATGGCCACCCATGACCTGCCATTGATGCTTTTATGAACTTGAGCTAACAGTAAGTCATCATGCCGTTGGTGATGTGGCGTGCATGATGCCCAGCTTCTAAAAGTGAGGCCCGCGAGATAGTTGATACCCAAGTTGCACAGTACATATTGTTATGTTTGCATGTAACAAGGTGTTTTTCAAGGTGTGACTTATGGCGGCAAATCTCTATATTCATATATAATATTATATATATATATATATATAAAAGCATATATATATAAAAGCATATGTTTTCTACTATTACTCAATGAGTTAATGATTTTAAACAATTTTAATGAGGTTATATATTAAAAACGAGCAAGTAAGACATTAAAAAGGTAAGAAAAATCAAACATCTCATTATAGAAACGTTGCATTAGGCCATGGTGTGTCACAGGCTTAATGGGTCATCAGACACCAAGCATGGGGCCTCGGTGTCACTGCAGATGAAGCATTGAGCTTATAGAACAGTGAATGAAACTAAATGGGTAAGTGGATATTTAAAAAAATGAAGAACATAAGGAATAAAATTATGGTATACAGGGGTTAATGACTAGGAGCACGGATGGCATAAGTAGCAAGATGAGGGCAAGCATTAGCGTAATGACCGTCTTTTCGGCATAATTGACAATGAGGGGGACGATGCCCACTCCCCCTACCACCACGAAAAGACCGACCACCACGACCCCGGTTGGGATTAGTGTGGCTTATTTGAGCACCAAAGGCCACAGGCGGTGTTACGGATCCATGGAGGGATCGAAGAAATAGTTCATGTCCTTCAGCTTGAGCAAGAAGATCCCGAAAGTTGTGAGGGGTTCTAGAGGCCCTAATGGCAGTAGAGAATGATTCGAATGAAGCCCCAAGTCCACATAAAAACCAATGAACTTTATCAGATTCGTCCACTAGGTGTCCAATAGCCGCTAATTGGTCACATATGGACTTAAATTTACGTCCAAATTCAGCAACAGTAGATGTACCTTTTGAGATTTGTCGTAGTTGATCACGCAGATTTTGAATCCGTTCCACCGAAGAATTGCTGTATGCAGCTTCTAAAGCAACCCAAATTTGCTGGGCAGTAGAAAGGCCAACAATTTCAGAGAATGCTTCTTCAGTAAGAGAGGCATGAAGGAGAATCACGGTTCGTTGATCATCCAAAATCCATGCCATATAAGCAGGATTTGGAGTTGATTTTCTGTCGGTGACAATCTCAGGCGGCGGTGCACCGAAAGTACCATCAACATGGGGAAGCAAATTCTGAGAAGCTAGAAGAGGGAGTAATTGATGCTTCGAGAGTAGATAATTCGAGGAGGTTAACCGATTGGTGATCAGATGCATGATAGTATTCATGGAAAAGATTGAATCAGGAGAAGCAGAAGATGATGCAGCCATGGAGGGAGGGGAAAAGACGAAACAGATGGGAGGGAGGGAGAAGAAAGAGAACGGGCTGGAGAAGGGGAAGAGGGAAGGTCAGGACTTTGTGAGCTCTGATACCATGATAATGTAAATCTCCATGCCAAAACAGGAGGAGAGAATATCAATAAACAAAGAACCAATTTACAAATACAACCCCATACGAATGGAGAAATACAACAAACTATAGGAAGTATAAATATATACAAAATATAAAAACTAAGTGTGTCTAATACATATAATATATGGTTAAATATGTACATGTGTATATGTACATTCTCTCACACACGTATAGGGGTGGAGGACCAATACTAAAGGGCATTGTTAAGAAGAGAAGTGTTGCATACCCTTGAGCCTTGACATAATGCGTATATCATATCCAACTACTTTTTCTCAACTAAATCCACTATTTTCCAGTTCCCCGTTTGCTCTTCCTCGATATGACATGAATATGAAAGGAAAAGGAACAAACTTTTCCGGAAGGACTTGGTTGTTAATATAGACATCTGAAAGACTAACAACTAATTCTGGGCTCACAAGCTACCAAAAAATATGATATAGATTGTACATACATAAAGCAGGCCACTCCTGTAAAAGGATGTTTCATGTAGAATCGCACACTACTGGTTTTGTTCACAAACTTTGCAGATAATGCTAATATTAAATTATCAGTTCCTTCAACGAAAGATGCATGTTGTAGCCCTTTTATTCTGTAAACTGTCAGAAATCTGGCATTGTCTAGGACATAATCTTGTGGAGATTTAAACTTATGCAGTGAGTTATAGATGTACGGTGAGTTACTTTTTTTCTTTTCTAGGATCCCATGTCTAGTTTCAAGCAACTGTTGTTTTATATGCTCCGTTCAGGGCCTCTGGAGGAATTGCCAAAGCAAAGGGGAAAATATATTTGTCAAATGTCCGCATGGTGTTTGTTGCTGATAGACCTACAGGGAATTTTATTGCTTTTGACATGCCCCTGGTAAGAATTTTTCACTTTGGTTGAATGGCCGTTGTCTGCTTGCCTTTGTACACTTCCAGAAACTGATACATAACTTTTACCCATGAATCTTGGTGGTTGTATTGTTTGACAAATATTCAGATGTCACCTTTGTCTCTCTCTCTCCCCTTTGCCTTTTCTTTTATTTACGTTATTTCTTTCCATGCAGCTATGAAGTACAAGTATCTGATATATTCGTATGAAAAATTTTCTATTCACTTCTCATCAAAGAAATTGGACTGAACTTCATCAGCATTCGTTATAGAAAGGCTGAGCAGACTTAAAATATTCCTCCTTGCCTTTGGATGAAATAATACTCGAAATTGGCACTCCTTTGTATTCTTCCTTGCTGCATCTTGGACATAATTTACTACTTACGAAGCATATTGCTTTCATACATAGAATCGATTATTTGATTCTTGTTTTTCCTGCAGCTTTATGTTCATGGAGAAAAATTTAACCAACCGATTTTTCACTGCAACAACATATCTGGACTCGTGGAGCCTGTAAGTAGACAAATGTGATGTTTTGAGTTGTGAAAACGTAGTGGTTATTTTATTTAACCATGTCCATCTGTAGGTAGTCCCAGATGATCAACATAGGGCATTGTATTCCACTCACTCTTTCAAGATCTTGTTTAAGGAAGGAGGGTGTGGAACATTTGTGCCCCTTTTTTTCAATCTGATAAAGTCTGTGAGACAATATAATCAACAATTCAGTGCTGCAACTGAGCCCCGTGGTGCTGATCCTTTAAGAGCAGCACAAACACCAGTTGATGAAATGATGAGATGCGCGTAAGTACCATTTGTTATTATTAGTAAAAAAAATTGATGAACGGTTTGTTTATAATCGATCTGAATCTGAACATGTTTGTTTGAGCAGATACGTGGATCCCAATGATCCAACAAGAATCTTTCTGCAGCAGCCAAATTCAGAAGCACAGCTGAGACGCCGTTCATATCATCCTCAACCTGAGTAAATCCTAATCACCAAGCTTCATGGGATCTCATCATCGTCAAGATGCATATTTCTACTTCTAAAAATTACATACGTTTACTTGCAAAGTTCTGTACATTATGACTTGATAAAAGTTGCCACTTCTATTGAATGCCTTGTACTGTTCTTTAAATCGATTTGGAGACTTTTTCTTGATCAAACCTTTTGGGTCTCTTTGGTCTTATGGGTCGAATTAAACCCATTTCTCCCATGGTTTCAAATGTCTTGTTTGATTATTCATTGTTCAACTCCCATCATGTAGTTATGCCCTTTGCATAGACTCATCTGGAATTCAGAGTAAGGGGCTGTTTACTAAACGCTTACCTGATAAGTGCTTACCAAGTAATTTTGCTTATCTGTTTAAACATGGCAAGGGTCAAAAATCTTGCCTAATAAGAATAATGATAAAGATGGAGAGCCTTACTCGGTAAATGAGGATGACGACTCTTATCTGGGTAAGTGCTTATCGGGTAAATTGTTGCATACTAACATTTTAATGTACTACAATCTTACCTAGTAAAATAAATTATAGTGTTAACTCGTAACGATAAGTGCTTACCGGGTAAGCATTTAGGTAAGCGGCCCCTAAGAGAGACGCAATATATATACTTGCTTGTTTCACGCACATGTATACACGAGTACATGCACACGGTCAAAGTTGCAAGGTTTGGGTCCTTACACTTGACCTCCGTCTGGTTGGTCTTTTGAAGCTTTAAAAGTTTGGTCTAGTCATTGTAGTCTCGGAAGTCAGAAGGTTCAGTATAGGCGAGCCCAATATTTCCCAAAGCCCAAGCCCCAAGTCTTGCCCAAAAAAGTTGGAGGCTTAATAAGCTCGAGCCTAGGCCCAGGCACAAAAACAGGCACTGTTGGTGAATTGGGTTGTAACGAAATTTCTTGGATATTTTCTAGATCGTGTTTGGATATCACTTTCTAGAGCTAATCGAGTAGCTCTAGAAGCACGTGTACAAGATCGCGTCCCTCATTACGAGCTTGTACACATGCTTCTAGAGCTACTCGATTAACTATATATAGACGAAGAATCGTGTGAGAGGGAGAGTTAAGGTGAGAAGTGTAAGAATGGATCTGAACTCTTGATCACTTTTAATCTCATACCCACCCATGAACCATGTTTGATACGGGAACTGATCTGGTGCATCTCATCCTAATATGCATCCAAGGGTGAAGATTCCTTCTTACGCTTCTCACTTTAATTCAACTTCTCATTGGAACCCAACCTTATAAATATTCCTCAGATCATGAATTATATATGTATTTATAAGAGATCGACATTGATAGCTGTTAAACTGTAATAACCGTTAATGAATAAGATCGAAGAGCAATTGTAACGGAATTAGAGTTTGAGTCTAAATTTGACTTCATTAGTCCAAACTTAGGACAAAGTCTGGAACAAATCTGATGAAAATGTACAGATCTTTGAATAGATTAGTCCTGATTTAGGACTTAATCTAGAATCGAGTATGAGCAGTAGGTCTAGAGTTAGACACTTAGGTGCCGTTTACCAAACGCTTACCCGGGTAAGTGCTTACCAATTCACTTTACTTTACCGGATTAATATGACAAGGACTAAAAATCTTACTCGGTAAGAGCGAAGACAAGAATCGAGAGTCTTACCTGGTAAGTGAGAACGATGACTCTTACCATGGTTAGCGCTTACTGGGATAAATTGTTGCATACGATGTGTTTTAGTGAATAAAATCTTACCCGGTAAGTAAGCGATAATGTTGAATTTTACCGATAAGTGCTTACTGGATAAGTGTTTAGGTAAACGACCCCTTAGTCTGATTTCACCACAACTTTAGAGCTTTGATTTGAATTTCAGGTCTCTTATTGTACTAAACCACACTCGTACTTAGCAAGATTTTTGTTACATTCGACTTTTCATAAATTCCAAAAACGACAGTCAAAGGGCTTTGCCCCTTGTAACCCCGCTAGAACCGTTGCCACCTTGACCCTTGCCTTACTGCGATCTAAGGTGATAGGGATAACATTTGTGAGTGTACATTCTCTTCTGCCTTACTTATATTTGCCTCATCATCTCAATCGATCTCTAGTAAATCACAACTACACCAAATGATTGATGACACTAAGATCGCCAAACAGGCACGACCATAAAATCCAATCTGGCCAACTTTTTTTTTCAAGGCCTGGTTAAAAGCCCGACCTAGAGCAATTGCAAAACCCGGGTCTAATAAAGCTCGATTGCAACCTCTTTCACCTATCCAAGTGCTAGTTAGCAACGATAATGGAAGTCGTTTGAGAAGAGTGGCTTCTAGTTGGTAGATGATTGTTGTTGTTAACTTGTCTACCAAGGCCTGTTTGAAATGCCACCATTGGCAACCACCTTCAAGTTATTATGAGTTTGTCGACGATAATGTTATCATCCAACTTCGATTTATGTTTATGTGTTGGAAGTGTAACAACCGATAATGGAGTAGAACTGATGGATTAGAGATTAGATAATGTACCAATTCACGATTTCATGATACGTGTGGAGGAAAATAGTAATATTATAAAATAGAAAAAAACAAGGTATTTATATCTACTCCTATTATGAGAGAATGAAGATATAAATCTATCACCACCCTCACTGTTCAAACTGAAGATGGTGTAGAAACTGTCTCGATATTATCATTGGATATTCAATTATGGTCGATCGGTTCCAATTGGATATCCAACCATTCATCGATTGAATATCCAATGGATATCTAATAAAAGTATCCAATAGATGGAACCGAACAAATCGAATCAACCATTGGATTGGATTGGATCGGTTATCCAATATTAATCGGATCAGATTGGTTGGCAAAATCCAACATCCAATAGATGATTGGATCCGTTCGGTTCCCTTTTACACCCATCAGATGTCAATCGATGAACAACACTAATAGAAGCCGACAAACAAATGCATGGTGGTCAGAGAATGATCTATTCAATCTTGCTAGAAAGGTTGCCTCTTGAATTATAAGCGAGAATGGTCGATGCAATCTTGCTCGATTTGAACATCTCTGTCTTGCTCCAAAAACTATATGTTGCTTTTCTTACATAATTATAAGGAATTTTACTTCACTTTTCACTTTATTTTCTTTCATTATGTCCACTTCTTCATCATATTTATATTCATTTATCGATATCTTATTTTACTGGTGCAATTATTTTCAATGTCACATATTGTTGTTTTTCATTGATCACTTTGAATATTGAACTGTGGTTATACAAAAAAATGAATATGCATTTAATTGTTCATATTTTGTGAAATATATGTAATTTTGCAGCGATTATATAAAAAAATGAATATGTATTTAACAGTCCCTTGGAGCCTCGCTAGGGGCTGCCCCTCACGGGGAGTGGCCCCGTTAACCCCTCTTATGGGGATCTAAGATGATAGAGACAACATTTGTCAGTGTACACTTCCCACTCCCTTTCTCACTTATGTTCGCCTCATTATATCAGTTGATCTCTTGTATATCACAACTACACCAAATGGTTGATGACACTAAAGTCACCAACATTCCTTCCCTGTTTTAATGTAATCCTTTGATTCACAGATAAACAAATAAATAGATAAAATCAAACGTAATACATAAATGAAAGTTAAACCCAAATTGATACTAAGAACAATGATTAAACAATTAACACAACAATGATTTCAAACAGTCGACTGTATATTGATGAAATGTGAATTACAGAGAGTAAATTCAAATGTAAGGCTATAATGATATGACAATGATTAGTCTAACCTAAAACTAGAAAACCAGAAACATATTTATACCTTGAAATGTATTTACATTTTAACCCCTTCTACTTTAATACAACTGAAAATATAAGTCTAACAATCTCCCCCCTTTGTATTAAAGCAACATCAAGTAAATCTTCTTCTTATCGGACGGAGGCCAAAATATGTTTTAAACCTTCTAAGCATCCTCCGGTACTCCAGCTTTTCGGAAATTTGATCCAGGGCAGTAGCCATCAGGGTTTTTTCATGAGGACCAAGCTTATCAAGACCTATTCTTTCCAAATCGAGCTTGTTTGACAACTTTAGTTTGATAAGCTTTAAGGCGCCATCTGAATACACCACCAGATATTTGCGATCTCATAAATCTCTTTTCTCTGACATCATTTGAGTACACAATCCCAAACTCAGGCTGCTCTATGATCATGAACATCGACAGGGATTCAATATTTTCCAGACTCTGATTCTGTAGGAACCTAGAATCCTCTAATGTTCTAATAATCATAGCTTAAGTCGATAGATGAGCAGAAGCAATAACTATGATATTAGATGGTTAGCAGAAATGAAAGAAACATAAATAAGATTAAAGTGTTGAACAAGTCGACTGTATTGAATGATTGAAGAGAATTACAAGAACACCAAGAACACACTTGAGTGTGTGTAAAGAGAACTCTCAGCAATATTCTAAATCTCACTAGTGTATAGCTAATCTCTCTCTAGCAGCAAGGAGCATCTTCACAATATGGATATTCATGGGTTAATATTTCCTTAGAGGAAATATCCTTTTATAGGCCATTCCCAAAAATAAATCTTCTATAATTTAGGCTATAATCTTTGTCAACACGTCCACTAATTAGCCTCCATGATCCTTGAAAGATGTAACCATTTCTACACATATGTTGGCGTCTGATTGAAACACAAGTGGAAACTCTGTGCGCAAGCTAAGGGGGAAAGAGACCCAGAAGCTCTGCATATATAGTGCAAAGGCTCTGCATGTATAGTGCAGAGGCTCCGTGTCTAGAATAGGGCTCTGCATCAAAACCTAAAGCTTTTTGACGCTAAGACTTGATCTTCCTTTACTTGGCATGGGCTCTGTATGTGAGGGACAACTCTGTCTTCGAGTATCTCTTAGTCTGTGCGACTTGTGCATCCCAACTCTTGTTCCAGGCTGCTTCCTAGACTAAGTTCTCTTGACTAGAGCAAGAGGCATTTTACTTACACTTCATGAAATATAGATCTAACAATCTCCCCCTAAGTGTAAATAAAGAAGACTTTTCTTGAATTGAAATCTAGTGTAGGAAAGTAAGAGGCCAACATGGTCCTCTGTATGTAATTTTCTTTTTTGAAATTGAAGTACATAAATGGAATTACAAAAAGAAAAAAGTTGAAAATATTTACATGAGAAAGGCC